CATATCGCGCCGCGCAATTTTGGCCGTTCTGTGCTGCGCTCTGTCGTGCCGTGGATCGAATTATCCACGGCGCCCGATCCTGGCCGAACTGATCTGGAGCGTAAACTCAAGCGGCCTGAACGCACGTTTTGCAAGAGGCTGGCAGCTGTCAAAACTCACCAGACGCTCAACCAGCTCGAGCTGATGATCCGGTTCGGTTCCGAATCGTGGCGAACCACAGGAGAAGGGCAAGATATAGACATTTACGTTTAACACCGTGGGATGCGAGCCCCAGGAGAGGGGCAACGTGTAGGAATACACGTAACACACGAAGGATCCGAGCCCCAGGAGAAGGGCAATCTCTCTCTCTCTTTCTCTCTCTCTCTCTCTCTCTCTCTCTCTATATATATATATGTGTGTAGATATGAATAGACACCCCAAGACGACCTGGAAACCCACTCCCATACGTGCATATATCAACGAAAGATTGATATGAACGGCCACCTTCGTTTGCAATCACCTCGGACAAAAGGTCTGAAGACAAGCACTGCTCTGGCCAGTGGTAAGCGACGTCATCACGAGAAGCGAAATCCTTTGATCGCTTCCGAGCCCAGCGGGGGAAATTTGAAATTGCGGGCAGTGCAACTGAAACTCGAAGGTGGCTAGGGCGGGCGGACTTGAGCCACCGCGGTAGCGGGGGCAAGGCTGAGACACCTAACGGGCGTGGAAGGGCCGAGGGGCATTCACGTCCACGACTGGACACACCCCAAGACGACTTGAAAACCCACGCCGAGACGTGCATATCTCAGCGAAGCTGATGGCTAGGAATGGCCAACTTCTTTTGCATTCGCCTCTGACAAACGTTGCCCAGACAAGCACTGCTCTGACCAATTGCAAGCGACGTCATCACGAGAAGCGAAGCCCTTTGATCGCATCCGAGCCCGCGCCATATCACGCGCTGGTGGTCCGACTCATACGAAGGCGATCGAGCAAGAGCTGAGGCAGCGGTTTACTCTTGCGGGTCGCGCGCTTCTGCTTATCCTGTGGCACTTGTCGCAACTGATGGAGAATGAGAGCACCATTTACGTAGCGAGCCACCAATGCGGACGACGCCCATCGACCACGCTTCTGGACCTCCTTCAAGGCCCGCCCCCCGTGCGCCCCGTCGTTCGAGGCCCCCGAGCGGCGGAAGACATGCGGGCGCGCTCCGAGGGCGAATGGCCCAAGCGGCCGGCGGCTTTCTTGATCCCCCGCTCGTACTCCGGCAACGCGAACTTGAAGAGCTTCTGGGAGTCGGCGGCTCCGGGCCGGTGGAGGACCCGCGGGGCACTCGTCAGCCAGGGGCGAGCCGCGTCGCCGACCTGGAGGTTGCATTCCTGACCCCGAGTCTGGGTGACCTCGCACCACTCCGAGGGCGCGATGACGATGCCATGGTGCGCGCCGAGCTTCGCGGCTGACGCGGGAGGCAGGATCTGTCCCCGACGAAGCTCGACCACCTCCGAGGGTCGGACACACGCGCCCGTCTGCAGTGACACCGCGGCGGCCATCAGCGGCAGGTCGTGCTCCATCAAGTCGACCGCGATGTCGTCCACGATGATGCGGGGCAGGGGCAGGCGCGCGCGGCCTGGCGAGCGCTCTGCCCAGCCCTTCAGCGAGGCCAGCGCCGTCGGCAAGTCCACCTTGCCCGTCGTCTCGAGCCGCGGGGGCCCGCAGCCGTGGAGGGTGTCGCGGCCCTCCCAGACCCCGAAGCCGTCGTCGTATATGTCCACGAAGTACTGGGCCATGCTGTCGCCCAGGCGGTTGAGCGGCTGCGCGTCGAGCTTCTCGGCCTTGCCGTTGACCTCGAACTCGCGCGCGACTGCAGCTCACTTCTCGAGGGTCGCGTTCGAGACCGTCGCCATCACCAGCGAGTCGTGCCGAGGATTCGAAAGGGCCCCACCCGGCGCGGGCGGCGCCGACGGCTGGCGCGGGCGGCCCCTGTCTGGCGGCCGCTATTTGCCAGCGCGGGAGGGCCCGCCAGCGTCGCGGCCTGTCGCCATGACCGAACTAGACGAGAGGGTTCTCGTCGAGGAAGGCGTCGGCCGCCTGACAGTCGTCGCGGCGGGGCCTGACGCCCTGGCCGCGCAGCGCCCGCCCTCCAGCCTTCGGCCCACGGCCCGCGGCCCGGAGGAGGCCACGGCAGAACCCGCGCGGGCCAAACCCTGGCGCGCCCGAGCCGGGCGCCTGGGGGGGCGCGGCCTTCAGGGGGTCTGCCCAATATGAGTCCAGAGCCGACTGATAGGCAGCAGCAAGTGGCGCGAGGTGACCGTGCAACATGATGGCGCGCTTGTGCGGCATGCGAGGTCGATCTCCGAGAGCTCTCAGAACCTCGAGGTTGGTCAGGATTCGAATCGGTTTACGATAGGCCGTACCGTACATGCCCACATCGAGATTTACCTCCGTCACGTTCGAGAGCCCACGAAGACGGGCAACAGGATCGAAGTTCCACAATCCCGATGTCCTGGGATTCTCCACACTCCAATACGCCCCGCGCCGAGATGATAGATGCCATAGCGCGCTCGCAAAATAAAACAAACTCGATCCCAAGACGCTCCCAAGTTCGTGGTCGCGCATGGTTTCTGATGCCTAGACGCGCGATGCTCCACACCTGACAAGGCGCCCCAATATGCACATACAGCAGGCGGCCTCCACGGGCCAGATCCAGGACATACTGTTGCGTGGCATGTCGAAACAAATCAAGTTCGCATCCATCCTCGATGTCCACCGGGTCGGCAACAGGAAGTCAAATCTTTCTGCAAGCTCCAGTCAGCAGCCCGAGGCCTCCAAAGAGTTCCAAACAAAAAACTGTTTCACCAGGCACGCTCTGAATTGCAGGGCGAGAGATGCGCAAGGCCGACATCGGCAGTGATGATACCGATGAAGGGCGAGGCTTGTCTGCTCACCCTCCAAATAAAAGTAAGAACTGGCATCGTCGGGCCCCTCGGCGGCCGCTCCGCCGGCGCGGCTCGCAGTGCCCAGCCCGACCGTGCTCTCCGCCTCGGCCGCCGCATGCACGGGCGGCGCTGCCGAACCTGGCGCCGACACTGGTCCCGCGAACCTCTTGGCGCCCAACCGGCGGGAGTCGAGGTCGCCCCGCGGGCGCCCAGCTGCCGCGGGAGGCCGCTCCCGCATCAGAATCTGCGATTTGGCGGCTGGATGCACCCCTGGGGCCCATCCAGGCGCTGGAGGCTGCTCCAGCATCAATCCGCGATTAGACAACTGGGTGTGCCCCCAGGCCCCCCCTGGCGCCAGAGACCACTCCCGCGCGAGAATACGCGAAGCGGGCCGCTTGGAGCCCCGCTGGCGCGAGTCGAGGTCGCTCGGGTTCCGATCCGTCTCGACGCAGCGGAGCCGCCGCGCGATCTGCCCGCCGAGCTGGCAGGCAGCCGCCCGTCTGCACAGCACCTGCAGACCAGCGCTAGAGCGGCCCTTCTCGAAGGCCCCCACGGTGACCCGGCTGTCGCTCAGCGTCAGCAGTTTCGAGCCCAGTAGCCTGAAGAATCGGCAGTGTCTCCGCAGCCCCATCAGGGCCACTCGCGCCTCCTTCAGGTTGATGCGCTCGCCCCGCCATCGCCGGCGCTCGGCCGCTACCAAGTGGCAACGCCGCCGATCAGTCCAGCTGTCAGCCAGCGCGGGGATCCCCGGATCCAGGGTCACTGTAGCCCGGGCCCCCTAGTCCGCCGCAGAGCGGCGATGCGACCTGGGGCGCGCCTCTGCCTGGCTCCGAAGGGCCTGGCCGAAGGTGGTCCGCGGCCCAGCAGCAGCGCCCGGCGCGTCGCCCCGCGCGTAGCCGAGCCCCTCGCACACCTGGCCCTCGACCAGCGGGACGCCCCGATACCGCCAGCGCTCTCGCCACCTCCACGCCTCGCGGATCTCGTCGGGCCCCCCTTCGCCACGTGCAGGGCGTAGCCACGAGTCGAGGAGTCTCCGCAATAGACCCGGCCCGAGTACTTGGCGCTGAGGTCGGCCTCCACCAGGAAGAGCAAGTTCATCACACAGCGGATCTCCGACTTCACGGAGGGCCGCGTTCGCTTCGGCACCTCCAGGACCTCGCCAATGAAGCGGTAGCAGGCGCTCAGGGCGGACGCGGCCTCGGGGCAGAGCTGATTCAGGTTTACGACGTGTCTAAGCCAGCACTGAAGGGAACGTCCGCGAAGTTTACGTCGACGCAGTAGAGCGTGCCCGGCGAGGTAGGTCCGCCAGACTCTCCGAGCCACGCGCCGTGGCCGTCGCCCACGCAAGCGGCGCACCAAGCCGAGCGCCTGCATATCATAACCGCCGCCCGGCTCGATGTCAAAGGGGATATCAGCAGTATCAATTTTTCGATCTTGGCCATCTGCCAAATCGCATCAGCCTGACAGCCCCCGATCACCTGCGCGTTGCCCACGTGCACGCCAAACGCGAATGTGCCCAGCTTCAAGAGGGGGCAGGCTGCATCTCTCTCATGATCTGGCCCGGACCGTCGTCGAGCGTCTGCTCCACTCGAAAGGCGGCAGCCTCGTTGGCGAAACACAGCGCCCAGGACCAGCCCGCGCACACCGCCTCCACGCAGGGGTGGAGCGTCTCCCCGTCCACGACGGCGGACTCGGCCCCCGCGGCATCGCCCCAGATGGTCGCGGGCCGGCACGGCAGCCCATGCTCTCCAACTCCTCAGCGTCGAAGCGGCCCTCGAAGCCGAGCCAGGAGGCCAACTCGGGGATCGTGAAGTTGTAGAAGCAGCCCCCGACGTCGCCCTCCAGCCCAGCGGGGCTGGCAGGAGGCCCCGAGCCCAGCCCTCCGAAGCCGGGGGCCTTCAAGCGGGGGTCGGAGAGGTCCAGGTCCGCCATGCAGCGAGACGATCCCAGACGCGTGGTAGGCGGCAGTCGGCGTGCCCTGTTCGCCGCACGGCCGTCAATGATGAGTCTCTGGAGCCCGTCCCTTGACCGCGAAGATGCCCGCGCGCCCCTTCAGACGCTGTCGCCAGGTCAGCAGGCCCTGCCGGCTCAGGCGCTGACGCAGCCGCTTCCGAAGGTCTCGCGAGCGCCGAAGGGCGGGGCCCCAGTAGGGAGAGAAGCCGTCGCCTCCAGCTCGCTCCCTCAAGCTCCGCCTCGTCTTTCTCGATCAGGTCGCTAGCGCGCCTGAGGTAGCCAAGCGCTGCAGGTGGGAGCTCTCGTCGGATGGGTCGGACATGAACTCGCCCGCGCAGGATCTTGATCTTGTCGTAATCGAAGCTGGCCAAGTTCTCGGGCCCCATGCTACAGTGGTCTCTAGAGCCGAGGATCGCCGCAAGGGACGACTCCTCTGCGAGGTCAGTCGGGCAAGCCCCAATTGCCTCCACCCGCCGCGCGACGTTCTGGAGCACCCAGCGCTGCGCAGCGGCAGGCCGGAGGTGGCCCTCAGGCGGTCGATCAAAAACTTGCTGAGGCCGCGCAGGATCTCACGCAGTGCCGAGGCCGACGGGATCGCACGGCAGCGGGAAAGGATCTCCATGCCGTCGGTCGCGTGACCTGATGCTCCAGGACTGGAGGCGGCAAACCCACGTAGATGTCGACTGCGGGGGGGCTCACTCGTCGCCCGAGCGGCCAGCGCAGGCGCCCCCGCAGCCCCGAGGGGCGTCACCCCTCCTCGCCGGCGCTGCCACCAGCGCCGGCCGCTCCTCCATTCGCCTTCTTGGGGCGCCGCTTCGGGTTGGGCTCGAAACCGTCGCCCTGCCCCCTGCCGTCACCCTTGCGCGCCTGCTTCTGCCCCTCTTGTAAAGGCGCTCCTGCTTCCAGATCGTCGCCCTCTCCTTGAGCCGATCTGTGGCCCAAGCGCTGAACTTCGACGCGAAAGCCCGTCCAACTGCGTTGACGGGGGCCGAGATCACGACGTCCAAGCCGCTGTAGTCGGGGTGGCGCGGATTGCGCTCGACGGCGATCTCCGTCTAAATCATCCAGCGCACCAGGAGCTCGGCGGCGGCCACCACCGACAAGTCGACCTGGTCCCAGGAGTGCATCAGGCGGATCACCTCACACAGGTTCCGATGTACGTGATTCACCGCCGAGCCCTCACCGACGCCGCTGAGCCTCCCCCACTCGGCCTGGTACGATGTCACGTTGCCAGGCCCCGAAGCCACGCTGTCCAGGAACTCAATCACGCTTCTGACGCCAGCCAAGGGGAAGTTGGGCTGCTCCGTGTCGCGCATCATCGCGGCGGCCTCCGACAGCCGTAAGCACCTCTGGCCCGCCTCGTCCAGGTGGTCGCCCAGAGTGCGGACGTCGCCGAAGTCGGCCCGAGCGTCCCGCTGTAAATCCGACAAGCTGCTGGCCGCTATCTTCTTCTGCACGAAGAACTCCTCGCCGCCCGGCACCGCCACGCCATTCCGGACGAAGCCCATGCCGCGATTCTCGTCACCCTTGATCGCCGCATCGATGACCTCACCGAAACGATCGGAGCGCGGCCCGGCCACCACCCAAATCATTCGCTCGATGGCGTCCACCTGACCGACGCCCAGCAGCTGGCCCTGCAGGCACCAAGGGCCGCGCCTCCGATCGGGTCGTGGGCGTAGACCTGGTTCGCCAGGTGCGTGGGGAAGGGCGCCAGACGCTCGAGCACCTCGTGGCGCGTGTCCAGCAGCTTGACGCGTGGTCCTGGGTGAGGCAGATCCAGATGTCCTCGCTCACCCTGAAGAGCAACACCCGATGATGCCAATAGAACCCGTGCGGGTCGTTCTCGTACCGCACGAGGACCTGCGGGTCCGCGACGTCCAAAGTCAGGACGTCAGCCATGGCGTCGGCTAGGCGTCAGCGGGCCGGCGCCGGCCGTCATCGCCGCCAGAGGCGCCTCGGCGTGCTCCGCCGCAGCGCTTGGGGAGCCCCCACCAGTCGCGCGTCCTCGCGAGCCGTAGCGGCACCGCCTGCAGGCCCCTGTCAGGAAGCCCAGCGCGCCCGCCGCCGGGGTCGCGAGGCCGAGCACCAGCGGTCCGACAAGCAGCAGGCACCGCAGCGCCCAGACCTCCGCCTGGAGGTCGATGATGCGCCGCAGCTCCCTGTCGCAGGAGCAGTGGCAGGCCTCCTCCGCGCCGCAGCTGGAAGAGGAGGGCGGCACCAGGAGGGGCGCCACGGGGGCCTGCGTCCAGCAGCCCCAGGACCAGCAAGCGCCCAGAGTCGCGCTCAAGGCGGTCACCAGCGTCGCCAAAAGCGAAGGCGGCCCGCCTTCCATCCAGGCCGGCCGAGCGGGGGGCCTCTCGGACTTGAGCCAGCGCGGTAGCGGGGGCAAGGCTGAGACACCTAGCGGGCGTGGAAAGGCCGAGGTGCTTTCACGTCTACGACTAAACAAATAAAACATGTATGCGTAAAAACTAATTAGAAACATATAGGGTAAAACACAAACGGTTCGAGCCCCAGGAGAGGGGCAATGTGCAGGAATAGACGTAAACCACAAAGGATTCGAGCCCCAGGAAAGTCGCAACATGTAGGAACACATACGCCAAGCACTGAGGATTCAAGCCCCAGGAGAGGGGCAATACATAGGAATACATGTAAAACACGAGGGTTTCGAACCCCAGGAATAAGGCATCTAGAGGAGGCATTTCGAACTCCGAGGAGTCGAGCCCCACGAGGAAGCACAACGCGTAGGAATCTGCACGTAAAACACTAAGGATTCGAGTTAAAGGACAGAGGCAATCACCCAGGATTCGAAGCCCAGGAGAAGGGCAATCTATAGGAACCGATGCAAAACACAGAGGACTCGAGCCAGGATGACACTGTGCGAGAGGCTGTGGTGTGCTGCTCTGTCCTGTGCCGCGCCGCGCAATGACGTGCCAGGGGACGGGCCACGGAACCAAGGGCTCCCAACTTCGCGCTTCGCGCTGCGCGAAGCGCGAAGTGCGAATAGCTTCGCGCTCTCGCGCCACCTTCCAGGGGAGAAGAGGAAAATGAGGAATCGGAGCCGAACCGCGAAGCGCGAAGCGCGAATAACTTCGCGCCCTCGAGGGCGCTCTTGGGAACGAGCCAGTGGACGTGCCAGTGGGCGTGCCAAGGGGACGCGCCGCGCGACGTGCCAGGGGGGACGCGCCACGGAGCACGCCACGGAACGCGCCACGGGGGCGCGCCACAAGCGTGCCAGCGGGCGTGCCACGGGATGGGCGCCGGGGAACGCGCCTGGCAAGGCGTCAAGGGGAGCGCGCCACAGGACGTGCCACGGGGGGGATACTCCAGGTCTCTCAGTGAGCGTGGTGGGGTGGATCGCGTGGAGGGGTGGGGAAACCGCTGTCCTTCGGGGGGCGTGGGGAGGTTGGGGAGCGAGAGGGGGTGGGTTTGGGGCGCGTGGGGGGCGGGCAAGGGGCGCCGGACAGGTTGGCACGGGGGGGGTGCTTGTTGAAGGATCTGGAGTAGGGTCCGCTCAGGGGCGTTGGGAACCCATGTGTGTTCACGCGTGCCGCGCTGGGGCGTTCGGAACTCACGTGTCGTCGCGATTCTCACGCTCGGAGGCGTCAGAAACTATCGTGCCTTCACGCTTGTCACGTTCTGGGGCGTTAGGGGCCCGCGTGTTTTCACGCTTGTCATGCTCTGGAGCAGTTGGGACCCAAGAGTTGTCACGCTTGTTCCGCTCTGGGGCCTTCGGAAACCCACATGTTGTCACGCTTGTCCCGCTCTGGGGCGTTAGGGGCCCGCGTGTTTTCACGCTTGTAATGCTCTGGAGCAGTTGGGACCCACGTGTTGTCACGCTTGTCTCGCTCTTGGGCGAAAAGGACCCACTTCTTGTCACGCGTGTCCCGCTCTGAGGCGTTAGGAGCCCAAGTGGTTTCACGGTTGTTCCGCTGAGGGGCGATATGAACCATGTGGTTTCACGCGTGTCCCGCTCTGAGGCGTTAGGAACCCACGTGTTGTCACGCTTGTCCCGCTCTCGGGCGTTAGGATCCATGTGTTTCTACGTGTCCAGGCCACCCATGGGGGAGATATTTAAGAAGCGGTCGTCTGGACCAACCAAAGCTGGGGGTGCACCATAGCAAAGACAAATTAATGAATCGATACCCGATGTGCCATAACTGGAGTCGTTCCGATGGGGGCCTCCTGTGAGCTCCTGGGACGCCTGTTGGGGCCTCCAGGAATCGTTAAGAAACAATGTATTGTCGCGCGTGTCCCGCCCTGGGGCAGTAGGAAAACCACTAGTTGTCACGCTTGTCCCGATCTTGGGGCGTTAGGAACCAACGTGCTTTCACGCTTGTCCCGCTCTAGGGCGTTAGGAACTCATGCGTTCCCACGAGTCCGGGCCACCCATGGGGGGGGATACTTAATCAGCGATCGACTTGGTCGACCATAGCGGGGGGTGCACAATAGCGGAACCCACTTGTTGTCACGCGTGTCCCGCTGTGAGGCGTTAAGAACCCACGTTGTCCCCATTCTGGGACGTTAGGAACGCATGTGTTTTCACGTTTGTCCGGCACTGAAGCGTTAGGAACCGGAGTGATTTCACGCTTGTCCCGCTCTGGGGCGGTAGGAACCCATCCGTTTTCACGCTTGTCCCTCTTTGGGGCGTTGGGAAATCATGTATTTTCACGCTTGACCAGCTCTGGGGCGTTAGGAAGCCACGTGTTTTCGCGCATGTCCCGCCTTGTGGCGCCAGGAACTCATGTGGTGTCACGATTGTCCCGCTCTGGGGCGTTCGGGACCCACATGTTTTCACGCTGGTCCAGCTCTGGGGCGTTAGGCACCACCATGTGTTTTCACGCATGCCCTGCCCTGAGGCGTCAGGAACATACGTGTTTGTCACGCGTGTTCCGCCCTAGGGAATTTGGAAATCCACGCGTTATCACGCTTGTCCCGCTCTGGGGCGTTAGGGACCCACGTGTTTTCACGATTGTCCCGCTCTGGGGCGAGAAGAACCCTCGTGCTCTCACGCTTGTCCCGCACTGAGAGGTTAGGGGCCCACGTGTTTTCATGTTTGTCCCGCTCTGGGGCGTTAGGAACTTATGTTGTCACGCTTGTCCCGCTCTGGGGCGTTAAGAACCATGTGTGCTCACGCTTGTCCCGCTCTGAGGCTTTAGGAACTTTGTGTTTTCACGCTTGTCCCGCTCTGGGGCGTTAGGAACCATGCGTCTGCACGCGCTTTCTGCATTTCCAAAACCACCTGGGCATCCTGAGGCGGCGAAGCCCGTCAAGCTTTGCAAGACAAGCGTTTCGCTCGAGATGTCCTCGAATTTGCTTCGCGCAGGACGCGCCACCCTCGAGAGGGCATACAGCAAGTCAGCATTCGCGAAGTTTCTGTAAATTCTCAGGGCCTGCAGACCTTGTGTGATTGGTCCAAGATTAAGCGCAGAACGCGTCGCACCCTTTTCACTCCGGAAAACAGGGGTTGAGGACCCCCGTCACGTATCGAGAATCCGAGATAGGGGGGCACACTGTCCTCGAGCTTCGCACGAGCGAAACGCATGTTCTTAAACAACAACATGTATGTGTACCTCGTCTTGTTCTATATATATATATGTGTATATATATGTGTGTGTACACACCTATTAGAAAATTGCCAGGCCAACGCAAACTTGGCACCGAGGGCAATTTACATACAAAGAAGAAATCAGGGGCCGTCGGATTCGCGGAACGACCTGGGCAAACATCCGATCGAATGCCGTCCATAGCTCTGGCCATCAAGCACTACCCAACCACTCCAATGCACATTACATGTAAACGATCCTCACCCGAGGTTGTCCTGGATGATTGGGATCATGTTGCGAACGCGGTGTGAGATGCACATCATACAAACAGGTATGTAGACAGATGTGCTTACATACAGATCCGCCACCGTGCCTGCGGCACGTTGAAGAGTGGAAGAATGCCAAGGGCTGCCTGGCAAAATTCCTGTAACATGCTAAGAGGCCCCCCCGCCCTCCCTGCAACACCCAGCCAAATGCACCACCCCTGCGCCCTGGGCGTCGGGCGGCCATGGCACCTCCCTGGGGCTCTCCAAGGCTTCCACGACGGCCCAGCAGGCCCAGGACCCCAAGACGCCCCAAGGGGCCTCCAAGAGGCCTCCTGAGAGCGCCCCACGATGCAAAAATCATTGCTTGTTTTCTTTGGTGTTTGAAGGAGTTGGACATTCTCGCCTTTTTCGCCTTTCCGAAGCTCCAAGGCGGCCCAAGCAGCCCCCAAGACCGCCCCAAAACGCCCCAAAATGCCTTCAAGAGGGCCCCAAGACGGCCTAAGAGCGCCCCAAGATGGCCCAAGAGGCGCCCAAGACGGCCCGAACAGGGGCCCAAGAGATGGAACACGAACCGAACATCCGAGCCTTCTTCCGCCCCAAGAGGCCCCCAGGAGGCCCCAAGAGGCGCCCAAGAGGCCCCAAGAGACCCCCAAGAGGCCCCAAAGAGGACCCAAGAGGCCCCCAAGAGGCCCAAAAGAGGACCCAAAACGGCCCCAAGGCGCCCTCCAAGAGGCCTCAGAACTACCTACAAAAGGCCCCGAGGGGCCTCCCACGAGATCCCCAAGCACGGTGGCGGGACGTGCCGTAGGCAGCTGGACATATACACTGCAGGTACCCCTGAGCGACATCACATCGCGAACGGGCACCACGGAGTGAAATAGAATTCGCACCGCCGAGTAAGCCAAGAATGCCAATCCAACGGACCTGCAACAAATGAGCCCGAACCACGAACCATGGCGAGAGCGAAGGCGCGGAAGCTTGTTGTCCGCACAGCGCGGCCCGAAGATGCTGCAGGCAGTTTTGGCTGAGCCACGTCCAGCGCCACACTTCGCCCGTCTTAGGCTATGCTGGCAGGAATGCGCCGACAGCGCGAGCTCGGGGATCACTCGCGAATTCAAGACCCGCGCCTCTGTGTCCTTCGACAGGGCTCAGGTGAGAAATGAGTCAGATGGCGAAAAATATGGCTACAAGCCCACTCTTCGGGTGACAAGGACATTGGGGTGGGTGGGTGCAATTTTCGGCTTGCGATTGGCGTCGGGCCGGGTTCGCGATCGATCTATCTAACGAATTCGCAATATATCGATCGATCTCCCTCTCTGTCGGCCTCACGATCGGTCCATCGATCCCACTACAGCCGTCGTGCTACCAGAAGGAACGCTGGCTAGGGAGCGGAGGGGCCGTCGTGGCCACGGTGGGCCTCGGCCGCCTAGATCCAAGGAGCCGCTCGAAAGCCAGAGCCTGGGGCTTTTCTTCGAGGTCGATCGGCCTTACTGCCCATCGGTCTCGCGACCTCGATTGAC